ACAAGTTCGTAAGCAGTCGATTTTGTGAGTTCCTGTACTTATGATGCTACTGAAATTGGGAATCTAATGTGTCTAAACTGACTTCTGATAAACTTCAGTGTCCAGTTTTCCTGTGTCAATTTCGGTGAATAGTACATCCAAAGAATGATAGTTTGTCGTTCAACTACACTCAAATTATGAATATTTGTCGTCAAATACATTTGAGTTTAGATACTGGGTCATTTTAAGCTCGTCGTATTCATTAACAAACTGCTCAGCCACCGTGCTAATGAAAACATTGGACAAAGTGATGGCGCCTCTTCAGACGGATGAAAAGTTGTTTGGGACAACAAAACCTCATGGGAGAAATCTATCTTGCCATCATAAAAATTCTAGAACTCGCTAATTGGATTCTGACAGCTTTAAATGGATAACCGCTTTCTCTGCACTTGCTACAATGGCAACGAGTACCGTGAGTAGGCCAAGTAGAATGTTCATTGATTCTGAGGTTGTTTTCTGCAATAAGTACAACTGTGGAAGATACCATGATCGGCTTTGTGCCTCATAATCTGCTTCAGTATTTGGTTTGCCAATAAAGTCCCCAACATCTATAGTTTATCTCGCTAGTAAACAACTGTGCTGAGCTAACCTATGCCTAAAATCCTCCAATCGGTTTCTAGCTATTCAGTAGTTCCCAATGCCCCTGTATATAACATTAACCTTAGGGAGCTGGACCACAAAGCGCCTATTTGAGAAATAACTTCCCTTTTATAACATCACCATAAGCCTCTCGTCCTCAGCCAATACCAGTATGTCGTTCAAATACGCATTGGCCAATTCATGATCATGCACACATTGAAGTCGATCACTAGCCATTTAAATCTGAACTATACAGTTCGCTTTGCAAACATAACGTTTAAGAGATTCTGTTGGCTTCAACGACACCCACCAAAACGACCTCTTAACAGTGTATGTTTGTTTTCCACCACCTAACAGCTGACCTAGCATCAAACATGCTGACGGCAATTCGTAACTAATTAAAAGTTAAACTTCGTTATTTAAGATAGATATTAGCAAACCCTTCAAATGTGGTCATTCCCTTGAGCTTGCTGTTACTGATTCGTCTAAGTTCCTCACAGCTAATTGCTCGACTACACAAAGTTTCAATTTCTCGTGACTATAGGTACGTCAGGCTCACCAGTTGCGTGTCTATAGGTAACCCTCGTGCTATTGATAGAAGAAACTAGACTATCAGTGAGTAGGTCTTTATTTAGATCTTCGCGCAGTCACATTGGAGCGTGGGATTACATGTTCAAACAAACAAAACCTCTCAACATTCAATATAAGATAACAGGAAATATAATGCCTATACAAAATAAGGAAGTGAATGAATATTTGAACTCTATTGTTTTGACATATACTTAGTTGTTTGAGGTCAACTCTACTCAGTGACCAGTCAGCTAACGTCGAAGTTATACCTGACGGTTAGTACTTAGCATGAACTATCCTTTCGTCATATCCAGCTGCTATGGCTACACTGATGACTCTAACACACAAACGACGTTATTACGGAAATATAGTAGTAGGAGCAGGTACAAGAAAAACAATGCGACCACCACTACATGTGACAGTCCATGGCGTGTAATTAACTGGTGCGCGTTGGTTGCTGTTGATCCCGACATATATCAATGAGCTGTTCGATATTTATTGACTTGACTGACGGATGGTTTGATATTTGACATTTTACTGGCCCTACACAATCGGTGTTGTAAACCTACAAAACTACTGGTTTTGAGAAGTCATTTAACACAGCAGTGTGTTTAAATACTTTGTTCCATTAGTTTTTCAGTGTAGAAGATCCATATACCCCTGTAAAAGTGTCGCAAATCATCGTCAAATCTGGAACCGGTAGTGGAACATACCACGACACTGAGTTGGATTTATGAATCAAGGTTAATAAGCCATAACCGTAGGTCCGTAATCAAAAGGGTTTCGCATGCTCATTCCCTTTGTTGAAACCTAAACATCTAAATTTAACCTTTTAAAAACACAGCAGTAGTGTGTGAGCCTCGATTTATGAATTTTATTGTTGCAGAAAGCTGAGGAATATTACCTAATTGGCTCGTTTTTCATATTAACCATGTACTTACAATCGCTAATTAAAGTGACTAACGAACTATCAACGCATATGCACGAACTCAAGATAATCTGCTAAAAAATCGTCCTTGAAGTCAAATGCGTTATTATGAAATCAAGCGAATATGGATCCGACATGATTGGCCAGTTGCAACCGTTCGACCACACCTATGTTGAACGGCATGACTTTTTCTCCAGGGAACAACATAGTTTTCGGAGAGGCCTAACATGATTGACAAATCTTCTGATTGCACGAGAACATTGGGCTGCTGCAAAAGATCAGAATATTCCTGGGGATGTGATCTTCATAGATCTAAGTAAGGCCCCCGATAAGGTCTCCCACTCTGGTCTTAAATTCAAACTGGAACGTTTTGGAATTCATTATACAGTTGTAGACTGGATAAGTAACTTTCTCCATCACAGGAGACAAAAGGTAAGGGTAAATGGGGCTCTCTCCTCGTGGGTGCCTGTAAAAAGTGGAGTTCTTCAAGGTACGATCCTAGGTCCTCTTCTCTTTTTGCTTTAAGTAAACGAATTGCCAACTGTAGCAAAATTATCCGTTCTACTCTTCACTGATGACATAAAGATTTGAAGACCCATACATAGTATGTCGGATAGAATAGTATTACAGGACGATCTTAGCTCATTGGTGGCATGGTTGGACATGTGGTCACTAGAAGTAAATCCTAATAAGAGTGTAGTGTTGCAGATAAATAACTATGATGAATCGTATCACTACATAATAGGTGGATTCGTGCTACACAAAGTAATAAACTATAAATACTTAGGAGTCATATTAAGCAGTGACCTCAAAACCACTAGTCACTGTAAGGCTGCTGCTGCGAAAGGCTATAGGGTATTATAGTCTATTCGTAGGTCTTTCCAGTATTTAGATGATGAAATGTTTAGATCATTATACCCGATTTACGTGAGACCAGATTTAGAATATGGGATTCAAGCAGAGAATCGTTGTTTCATGTATGAAGCAGAGATGCTGTGAAAAGTCCAACGACGAGGTACTAAGATGGTACAAGGTCTATCTGACCTGTCTTACTTGAAAAGATAATTCGGGTTAGGTTTTTAAGCCACATAGATTTACACAATCTGTTAGCTCCTGAGCAACACGGATTTCGTAACAAGCGTTCATGCTTGACTAACTTGCTTATTGCGAGGGAGGATTGGACAGGAGCCTTAGATAACGGTCTGTCTGTCGATGTGATATTCATAGATTTTAGCAAAGCATTTGACAAGGTTTCACATGTAGATCTTATGCAGAAGCTCACGAGCTTCGGAATAATAGGTACTGTACATGAGTGGATAGGAAATTTCTTATGTGACCGCAGACAGAGAGTGAGGGTCAACGGAACGCTATCCGATTGGAAGCCGGTCAAAAGTGGTGTACCCCAAGGCACCATCTTAGGCCTCCTGCTCTTCCTTCTCTACGTTAATGAGTTACCGCTGTTGCTTAGGTCGTCGACATTATTGTTTGCGGATGATGTAAAAATCTGGAGAACAATAAAAAGTGAGGATGATCATCTGGATCTTCAAGCTGACTTAGACGATTTAGTTAGATGGGCTCGAGAGTGGGGCTTAGAAATCAATGCTAGGAAGAGTGTACTAATGCACATCGGTCACGGTAATAGTTACTGTTACGCTATTGAGGGTAAACCTCTTCCATGCGTTCAAGAGCATAAAGACTTAGGAGTAGTATTAAGTCATGATTTAAAAACAACCACGCATTGCAAAGCAGCCGCTGTCAAAGGTTTTCGTGCGTTATGGTCACTTCGCCGAGCGTTCAAATCTTCTGACGAGGAAACATTTCGAATTTTATATCCCATATATGTTAGACCACATTTAGAGTACTGTATCCAAGCAGCTAGCCCATGTCTAGTAAAGGATACTAACTCCCTTGAGCGTGTCCAGCGTGTGGGAACGAAATTAGTGAAGGGTTTTTCTAAACTCCCCTACGATGAGCGTTTAAAACGCCTAAATCTTTTCCCCTTGTCGTATCGTAGGACACGAGGTGACCTTAAACTGGCATTTCGTATCTTTAATTATGATTTGGGTGTTAATATGTCTTATCTTTTTGCTCCCTCTAGCACTAATAATCTCCGAGGTCATAGCAAGAAGGTTCATAAACCACGATCTAATAAACTTAAAGCGGGGTCACGTTTTTCTCATCGAGTAGTCAATCATTGGAACGCCTTACCCGAACAAGTGGTATCAGTCCCATCAGTGAATACTTTCAAGGAAAAGCTGGACCTTCACTGGAAAGCAATGTGTCAGGATTAATACACGTTCACCAACCTACTATTCTTATTACTGAAGACTGAAGACTAAAGATTGAGACACTTCAACCTATTTCCGTTATCTTACCGTATAATACGGAGTGATCTAGTATTGGCTTATCGTATGCTGAACGATGGCCTTGGTATTAACATGTCTTATCTTTTACTTCCGTCCAGGACTGATCACTTAAGAGGACATTCGAAGAAAGTTCAAAAACCGAGATCAAATCGTTTACTTCTGGAGTTTCGTTTCTCGCACCGAGTAGTGAATTACTGAAATTCTCTACCGGAACACGTAATATCAGCATCTTCTGTTGATATATGCAAAACGATATTGGACCTCTACAGTATTACAAACTGCAAGGATTATTATAGGTTGAAAAACCTTTTATCCTTGTTACTGAAGATTGAAGACTGACCTACTTACCAGCGCAAAGTATAAATACTTGAAGATTCTGCCGAGTTCGTGATTTGGATGCATTTGTGGTATGGTTCGGGTTACTGATATTTATATCTATAGAATTTTCATATTTTTGCATCGCATTTTGTTGCATTGTACCAAATCAAACATTATCCTCTTGACAGCGATACCGTCTGATGTCTTGGTTTAGAAGTCTCTGTATAAACGCAAGTCGATTTCACAAAGTGTGTCTCCCTTTATTATGCACATGGAACCGTAGAAATGAATCGGTAAAATGTTGTTTTGCATGCACAAAAAGAATGAATTTTGTCGTAAATATCTTCATTTACGTCAGCTTAAATTCTCATTATTCCTATCTAGAGGCCGAAAGATTCGCATTTCTTCTGGTAATGAAAATAAAACCGTAAGGCTTTTAACTTTCGAATAGCATAGCGAGGTTCTTCTCTTTATATTAGTCTCATTAAATGTTGATAACCACTTCGAACGTCTGAGTAGTTTACCTCCATAAGGCTGCATATAAAGACATCATAGGATTCTGAGCTTGGAACTTAATGTCGTTAGCTGATAGCTACTTTTTTGCGTGTAGTTAATTGTCATGACATGCGCTCTATGTCCCATACCTATGGTACTCAAAAAGTATTTTGCCGAAAACCTAATTGTCTGCACTTCCTACATACGTATACAGTAGCCCCACTATTGGGGAACCTGATATATTCGACCTTCGAGTGACTGTTTTGGCAGCGAAGCATACATAAGGTAGGACAACGGTTTTAAATGTTCTGGTTCATTATCTAGCACAAATTTTATCTTGAATTTTTAGTCCAATGAGTGCATCACTAGTCATTGTCAGCACTAATTTTCACTAAGTTACCTTTACACATTTTATTGTTTTTCAAGTTTGTTTTTTTACTATACACAGTTTATATCTATGTTAACGCCTAATTATGATTATTTGTGACATGTTATTAAAATGTCAGCTCAAATGTGCTAATAGCTCTTGTTACACGTTTGTAGTGAAGTTGGTCAATTAGGACTTACACTTCTTACAGCACAAAATGTTTCATACATCTAAGTAAACGGTGTTGTTTTAATTGCATGTCAAACTGTGTAAGTAGTTTTCTGTTCAGTCAAGTTTGTGGGCTCATTTTTTTTCTTTGCTAACATTTGAATTTTTTATTGTTTCAGCCATACACCATGCCTCCAGTTGATGGAACATCTCAATGGCTACGAAAAACGATAGATTCAGCGGCCGTAATATTGTTTAGCAAGACGACTTGTCCTTATTGCAAGAATGTTGGTGGTCGATTTTCGTTCATGTATTTTATTTTGTAGGTGAAGGATGTTTTGGCTGAAGCAAAGATTAAGCATGCTACAATTGAACTGGATCAATTATGTATGTCAAAATTCTCTTTTATTCCTTTTTTAGCCAATGGTTCGGCCATTCAGAAGTCCTTAGCCAGCTTCTCGAAAATTGAAACAGTTCCTCAAATGTTTGTTAGGGGCAAATTCATCGGTAAGTAATAGGAAACTCCCTGATGAGTTGTTCAAGGGGATTCTCAGATGGTATTAAAATACCACCGTAATAATGAATTGACGAGTATTGTCAATGAAAGCAAGTATGACTATGATTTGATAGTTATCGGTGGAGGATCTGGTGGACTTGCTGCTGGAAAGGTACTTTCTTTCTGTTACGATAGATATCAAATCTTTTTTCTTTGTACGTATTCTCATTAAATTGAACACATTTCAAAGGTACTTGTTCATTCAATAGCTACAGCATCCTCAGATGACTAAATTTATCAAGTAAGCATGGTTCACGTTTTAATCAGACCTCGAATGCCAACCAATAAATGGGGGCTCAAGTGAGCAGAATAAACGTCTGACGTTTGAGTCTCTTCCATTTGGAAAGCAGGCTCAGAGAGTTAACGCGAATAAATTTCATTAACTCTATTGTATACGTCTTAATTCAAACCAACCGAGTGTAATTTATAAATAGCTTATCACAAGCTCTTATGATGACCGCTAAGTCTGTTAAAGGTCATTTGACGGAAGTGTGCGGTTTTTTGTACTAGGTTCAGAAATAGTTGTGTCCACTCTAGTTTTCAACCACCGTTGCCAAATATGAAGTAGCATACATTTATATGAATAACACTGAATTGAAAAGACTAACAGATGCATCCTAAATATATCTGGTTCCACACTATTTGCATAAAAGACTTGTGTTGTATCTCCAAACAGTGTCGTCATCTACATATCTTGTAGGGTGAAAAGCAAGTGAACCATTAACACTAGAAGGATGTTTATGACAAAGTGCAAATTAAATTAAAGTGGCAAAATGGGAATTTTCACAATATTGAGTAGGATGATCATTTTGAGTGGTTAGCTTTTAGTAATCAGGTTCGTATTTCTTGTTTACTTCTGCCATATGTCGCCTAATGTCCGGGAATAACTCACAGTAAACATTAAATAGTGCAATTGATTGTAGACTTTTAGGAGGTTCTTCAAAAGGGTCGTAATTATAGTCTGAAGATAATCGGTCAAACAATGGAAAATTGTTCTCAGTAGTTTATTTCAATTCACGGCTCGTGCGCGTTTTCCAATTTGTGTTTCCTCTGATTTGTGAATCGTATCATTTTTATTTTGGAGAGGCATTAGAAACTAACCGAAATTACATCAGAATCAACCATATATCTATCCCAAAGTCATCCATTCATCACCTAAAGAAAGATTAAAGTCATAACCCTTTTGGTTCGTGTGTATTTACACCGTTCCTGGTTTAGACTCGTTTCTGTCGTGAATGTAAGAATATCCCAATCGATTTCAGTGGGGCTAAGGGAGTCCTATTTCTGATTATCAGTCACCCAGTCATCAAAGCCGTGGAACTTGGCAGATAGGTACATCAGTCCAAGTTGCCACATCACATCAACATAAGAGAATAGAATTAATAGGGTAAATACCAAAGTACTAGAAGTATTAGTTATCGTAAAAGGGAATGAGCATAAAAATTATGATTCGAAAAGAAATAATTAATTGGTGGAATAATTGGTATAAAATAACTTCAAGGTTTCAAATCGAAAGAATGACAAAGCGTGGATCCATCTGTTCCATTGTGACCGATGCGAAACTGTTCCCAACCACTGGTCACAACAATTATATGAAGGGTTTGAATCGTTCATTGATTTACGCTGTCACCTACTCAACTCTCAGGACGTGTACTCTAATTTCAATGTCAGGGCAAGCCAGTGTAATTTCTAGTTTGATTTGTTGTAAAATGTCAGTATATGTTATTCTTGTTTTCTATCCTTTAGGAGGCTGCTAAATACGGTGCGAAAACAGCCGTTTTGGACTTTGTAGAACCTACTCCACTAGGTACCACTTGGGGATTAGGTGGGACGTGCGTAAACGTCGGATGTATCCCGAAAAAATTGATGCACCAAGCTGGACTCTTAAGTACGTTTTTCAATGAATCGTTTCGGTATTTAGCCTTTATTCTTTAGTAAATAAGATAGCTATAACCTAAACTTTCAGTGTGATGTAAATCGCTTTACGAAGCGGTCGCGGCTCTCTGAATTTTAATTTTCATGAGGATAGCATCTATATGAAATTTACATTTTTCGGCACAGTCTTATCACACATATTTATGTGCTCTAATGATATGATGTTTTTATGATTGTTAGGTCATGCTTTGGAAGACGCAGAACATTTCGGATGGAGCTTGGATCGATCGAAAAGTAACGTTTGTTTTTCTGTTTTTTTTCAACCTCCTTTTAATACGAAACTTATCACCATTTTTTAATAATTGATTTTTCTAAACATCCATTCATTGTGGTTGTATTTTCACACATAACGTGATAGTCTGCAGATGAAATTAAACTAACGATATGATAGCTCATTTGTTTCTAAGTGAAATGATCACACAATTTTCGTTAGACTCGCTATAGTCGGTATTTACCATCATCTGTCTTCGTAATTTATGTTTATAAGATCTCCACTAAGATAAGTGGCTTACTTTCACAGATTACTTTTGGTTCGGTGATGCATTGATACGAAAACCCACAATGTTTATTAAAATCTTAAGAAACAAACCAGAAAATTAGTAGTCTAATCTAGGGCTAATAGTTTCATTGTGTAGTGTTTTTCATTAACAGATTGACTTAACAGTATTTTCTATCATTTGCCATGTTCTTGTATTTATTAGTCAAATAAGGGGATCTCAAACTATTGTTACTGACTAGTTCTTGCAAGGTTGTTTTACAATCCTTAGTTTTTCAACTATATTATTTAAAATGAAGCATATTAGTGAATACATTAAGACATGCAATTTGTCATCGGTCTTAAATTGTGAAAATATTAACTGTCTATTACTTGCCGACCACTATGTACTTCAGTAAATGATTTAGACTTTCGAAATAACTGAGGTAAGGAATAAGTTGACTGAAACCTTATACCTGTGTGTCTTATAATATCGGATACTTCTTCGTTTTTAAACGTATTTACATTCTTTTGGACAGTTTTTATGAACTACAAGTGATGTTAGTGTAGTGAACGAGAACACTAGTGGAGACAACCAAATGTATTTGAATAGAAAATTATAGAATATCTTCGTATGATCTGAGAACCATACAGTAAATACTACATTTGCAAAGTGTCAATCAATCATCTCAGACTTTGTTGTTCCTTCATTTCCACACTAATCATTCTCTGTTCTCGTTCTCTTTTCTTCGATTTTTTTTAACCTTCTCCCCCCAGACATTTCACTTCCTATTGTTGATACATACTACTTATATCTGTAGACATCAGTAGCACACACCACATTAGTGCTTAAGCTTCGGTGCACTGCTTTTGGAAGTTGTTGCTTAATTAGAAACCACATGCGACACATTAGCCATCTGTAACTTCCCAGAGGGATTACTATTTTGCCTAGCCCTAGCAATTGCGAATAATAGTTCAAAAGTTTTAATAAACGGAGTTCATAAAAGATACGCTTCAGGGCTTTTAGTGGTTAATGTTCGTTTCTGTGGTGACAATAGCCTAACAAACTATAGCATGCTAATGACTCATTTATTTTTTATCTTTACATTCTGAACTCACTTGGTATTTATCTATTTTTGATATGTACCTCTTATAGCCTGATACTGTATAGATGAGCATGATATATTTTATTATCGACATGTATTAAATAATTACATGGATGTGATAAGCTAGAGCCTTATGACCCTTTTTCCTAAGGATTTTCTGAAAATTAAGGTTTGAAATCACATATACATTTTATAAGTTATCATATAAAAAATTTAAACTTAATAATGGGAATTTTCCATCAATTTAAACTTTGTTGTGTTTCCATTACTGCTAGCATTATGTATTCTAATTTCAGTTTCGCATAATTGGTCAACTATGGTTGAGGGGGTTCAAAGTCACATCGGTTCTCTAAACTGGGGTTATAAAGTTGCACTAAGAGATAATCAAGTCACGTATCTGAATGCTAAAGGGATGCTTATAAGCCCTCATGAGGTGCAGGTATGTTTTGTTTGGGTAAACATCCTAAAATATTTGCTTAAGATCAATTGTGTGCCTTATTTTCGATTTTTTTTTTGGAATTTTTATCATTGTTTATTCCACTCAATTCCCAAATCTTGAGGTAATTTTGCAGAAAATGTTCATTTATTTCATGTCTAAAGTTTAAGCAGATGTGGAGTTTAATAAACAGTTGTGATTGCTTTTGTTTCTGAAAGATAATTCACTGTTCGTCACTACGCATACATAATCTGACAACAACTACCTATCGTCGGTTTATTGTGTAAATCACCACTTTTTTTAAGTGAAGAGCAAACACATAAGTTTCTGGACCTAGTTCTTGTTATTGAAGGCATACCTACAATGTTAATGTAAACTTGTGTTACACACTAAGTATGGATAAATATGTCTGACTACTATATATCAAGTTCAGATATTATTTTCAGTTAATGTTTTTGTTATTTTCCTTCCCTAGTTTACATCTTTTGGATGGGACTAGTTTCTATATGATTTTGTCGTTGAGCTACACCATAGTTTGAGTTTATTTTTAAACCATATTTAATGACCTCATTTTTTAAATACGACCTTCCTGAAGCTGAGTTTTTTAATGCTTAAGATAATATTCGAACGCACAATACAATGTACCATTGACTTCGAGAGTCTTGGTGTTGTATTCCTTTAGGTGGAATTTCAACATCTAATGAATACCCTCTGTTTTTTTTCAAAATTTGTATTAAATCTAATTTTATATCGGGTACTAATTGTCTGTTATCGTGGTATGAAAACCAAACAATTGTGATGTCAAATTTTCCTTAAAAATCTTCACTCCATACAGATTACAGATAAGAACCAAAAAGTATCTATAATAACTGGAGACAAAATTATCTTAGCTACTGGTGAACGCCCAAAATACCCAGAAATACCTGGAGCGGTTGAATATGGGATTACAAGGTTTGTTGTATTTTCTTAAATCATTTTACTGGTTATGTTGATGTGTTTATCAATACATCCATGCGCAACAAGAAAATAATACGTGAATAAGTTGTTGTGCATTTAGCTTTATTGAATATAATCATGTATCCATTTGGTCCTTTACATATCTAGTCCAAATGTTTGTTGAATTTGATCACATGTACATTGTTCATATAGTTTCCTGATGTATACTAAATGAACTACCCATTTATTTTACCTACTACTAATAAACTGGTTAACAGTTGTATGTTTGGTGATTTTGTGGTTTCCATTAACCAATAGCCTTGATTTTTGTCCAATGTAAACCATATTTTCAAGTATTATTTGGTTATCTTTGTTAATCTTTGACGGCAACACCCAGCTTTATGTTGCCGTAAACTTGATGCTAAGTGAATACCTAGATGATTTTACTGTTCACTTTTCATATTTGTTGGGTAATAAGTAAGTTTTTGAGATAATCTTGATCTCATTTGGTGTAAGATGAAGCGTAGTTGAGAATTTAGTCATCTTATTTAGAGACTAAGTGCCGAGGGGTTCTCTTAATTCTGACTATTTTTCAAACATCCCATATATCGTTGTTCTCACCCTAACATTATCTAGTCGTTTGAATACCCTACACAACAATGTGTTTAGAACTGATTCAGAAAGCTCACTTGGTTTTTTGCGAACATACGTTAGTTGTGACCTTGGGAAGATGTCTGTGTACCTATCAAAGGATGAATTCACTGCATGACAAGCCGCTCTGTAGTACTCTACGTCTGGGAAACACGGTTTGCGGGAATCGATAACGTCTGTAGGCTACAGGCTTTTGATTGTAGATACCTCCAAAGCATAGGCCGCGTATAGTGAGACTTAGTGAGCAATGCTGGAGTTGGATAAAGTTGAGAAATCATTTGGTGAGGTTGTAAGTCTTCATTGATTGACGTAACTGGAATTTGTGCTGTGTATACCCAACAACCAGCTACCCGGATGTGCAATGTTGGCTAGAGTATAAATGGGTTAGAAAACTAGAAGGTAAATCAAGACATAAGTTCACGAAGTCACTGGCTGTTGGTCCTGATCTTGCTATGCTGTTATAAATTGTACGATTTGTATAGATACGAATATCTGCCGGATGCTCACTTTTGTTCGCTTACCGATTTATACAGAGTGAGCGTTTCTGCTACTCTAGATTCAAGTTGATTTAATATTTATGCCAGCCATAAAAATTACCTATTTTATCAAGCACCGCACAAAATTATGTTGCTTACTAAGTTGAGTTGGGAAACATACTATATGTATTTGTGAATCGCTTAACCTTTTCAGCGATGATTTATTTTCTTTGCCATACTTCCCGGGCAAAACACTAGTCATTGGAGCAAGTTACGTTGCACTGGAATGTGCTGGTTTCCTTGCTAGTTTAGGCGGTGATGTTACCGTTATGGTTCGTTCCATTTTACTTCGTGGTTTTGATCAACAAATGGCTGAAAAGGTTGGTGACTACATGGAGAATCATGGAGTCAAGTTTGCAAAGTTATGTATACCAGATGAGGTTAGTAATGTATAGACTTTTACTGCTTAACTATTTCTTATTATATTTATTTGAACACAAATGTTGGTACAAAGGGGCACCGAATACATCTACGTCACACAAGTCACTTGATTTGTGTGTGGGCTGTGATACTGCTTGGGTCCCCAGGCTGAAGCAGGTGGTTTTTTTAGTGGTCACATACAGGGCCTTCGACCTAAAGGTCTGATCCATAAGGCAGTGGGGCAACGTCAGGAGATGCAGTCCTACGGTAGCCAGTGACCAGTAATTGGTTCAGATGCCATTTGTTCCCTCAGGATACTGTATCCCATGTGTATTATTGGTTTGGAGTCAGGGTTTCCCGATTCCCGTAGGTGGACTCACTGTGTCCACTGGCCCGGTTAAAGCGCCGGACATTCACTTTTCGTCCTCTCAATTTCGTAAGCAACATCCCCACCACGAGAAGGCAGTGAGTAGGAATTCCCTGGCTCAACAATATAATAGTATTTATAATAATAATTCTCCATAAAATTAGAAACTTTACCCTACTGAAAAGGGCTGATTACTGATCAAAGAAAGCAGACATGTTATTTGAATAAATTTTATCTCAATCCTAAAATTATTTCGAATCCTTACATTCTTGTGACTCAACCAGAGAAGCCACAACCTTTAAATTAAAAAATAATGTTATATTGGCAATCTCCTAAAATTTTGAATACAGTAGTCTTGGGCTATTCCCAGTAATCCTAACGTTAAGCTCGTCTAGTGTAGTATTACTACAATTAATTTAAATAAATCTCGTTGCCAGAATTGTTGATCCTATTTACTCTCTGAGTTACCACCTGTTTCTGACAAACTAAAGTTGTGTTCATCATATCATTTTGGCTAAGCAAAATAACATTAGTTTTTTTATTGACAATATACTTTCCTTGCTTAGATATATTTATATATCGACTGCTTAAAACTATTTAGAAGACAGAAAGTTTATGTTTAATCAGTGTAGCTCTACTTATTTTGTATAAATTAAAAGAAAATTTAGACTATTATCAACCATTTTTCCTAATTTCTTTCATTTAGAATACTTTTCCATTTTGATTTAAATTATCTTCATTTAGTTTTTGAGAAGCAATCCTGGTTATCAATAGTATTTAAAAAGTATGAAATTTAATGTACCATTAAAATTCTAATGAGTTTCTATAATTTAAATATTTATCTAGTAAAAATGTATTGGTATTAATTTCAAAGCAGTACTCTTATTTATAACGTATAATTGGCCTTTTTTTCTCTATCATTAGATCAAACAATTGAAAGCAGTAGATACTGAAAATAATAAGCCTGGACTTTTGCTTGTTAAGGGTCATTATACCGACGGTAAAAAGTTTGAAGAAGAATTTGAAACGGTATGTTTTTACATCATATCCATATTCTTCCTCGAACGTTTTGCATTAATATTACGATAATTCTATCATTTTATTAAAGGGAAGATCATTCTTAGTAATTGACAAGATGTTTGACATACTCATGTATGTTCTTGTGTGTTACATTTTCTTTACGCTCCCTAAGGTTATTAATTACTTCAGTTGATTAGTTATAAGTACAAATTGATTGACAAAATGATTAGAATACTAATCAATTGATAAGGATGTAGCTAGCTGATAACTGCTAATGGGGATAAATTTATTCACTTGTTACATTCATTGATATTTCCATAAACTTAACATTTGATCACATAATTACAGCTGTTTTCACTTTTTATATTGAAGAATGTTAAGTGGAGCAGATATGATTCATTGGAATCACTGGACGCATTTACAAATCCATTCTCTGTCTATTATGATATCTTATTTGAACTATTAAAATTAGCTCTTATTCATTCAATTTTAAGCTTCCATTGAATCAAATTACTGACAGTTCTGTAGTTTGATTTTACTTTTTCTTAACATCCATCACTCAGTCAAATAGTTAGTGCTCGATTAGTTGTTAACAATCCCTATCATCTTCAGTTTTGAGTCATCTACTTTTTTAATTGTATGTTATATACTATGCTGATTCATTTACCAGGTACTTGGGTATACGCCACATTGTAGGTTTAAGGAGTTATGATGCTGCCTCGTCTCCTAAACTAAATTAGGTGGAGCGGAGTTCGAGACCGGAATTTAGGGGTCGGAAGTCAAATACCTTAACTACTAAACCTTTTTCCACTTACAATACTATATTATACCAACATTTTATGTTCGACTCATCACCTATACAACAAACTAATCATTTTAATGTAAATACATCAAAGTTTCAGGTGATTTTGATCATAAATCAAATATAACGGTTGTAATAAGGTCAAATCTATTGTTGTTTCTATTCCTCAATATTCGCAACCTTGGAATCCGTAGACATATTCCTAATTAAATTCTGTTAGTGACTACATAGATTAATGGCGTCATTTGATCACATTGCAGTACAACCAATGGTTAGTTTTTTCAGACTTCTCATTTCATTCTGCATTATTTGGTATTCCGTAGTCATATAGGTCAGTACTATGCTGTTCTGTTCACTGATAAATTGACTTCTTGATAACGTTATAACTAGCAGAAGCAAGCATATATTTCGTTTCCTTAATAGAATTTCCTTAACAACCCTTATTATCTTTGTTGTTGAATGTAATTTTCTCTTGTTATACTGTTACAAACTGTAACAACTTAAACTGCTATACTTTTCTACCAGGTTTTGCCCTAATGTCTGTATTTGATGATCAGTTTGCTATCTGTTGTTTTGCCTGATTTCCTCAGCCTGTTTGAATGTATACCCATACTGAACCTTAATAAGTTCAAAACCGAGAATCAAACATCTTAAGCTGTTTCCTCAATAGTTCCTCGCTTAGAAAGACTGCGGTCAGCATACTAGAAATCAAATTCCTGTCGAGTATATTGGGTTCTCGAGTTTCTAAGTGTTGTAATTTAAATCTTTTTACTTGTTCGCAAATTAGTTAGGAAGATTGATACATGAGAATTAGCATAAACACCAGTTGGTCCAAGTTATTAAATGAATGATAAGAATAGTAATTTTTTGTAGCCAACCAGTTAGTGATGTTTTTTAACAAAATGCTCACACGAATTGATTATTATGATTTTAGGCACATCAAATAATTTTAATATATCACTCATTTAATGTACTTTGTAACTAATCATTTTGTTAAATCTCGGTGTAACACTATTTCAGTGAATTGTGGAAAATCTATCATAAGCAGATTACTATTGATATCGTCATATTTAGTAACATAGATAAAACCACGCAACATGATGATAATAATCTAATCAGTCATCTTTATTTTGTAGGTCATTTTTGCTGTTGGTCGTGAACCACAATTATCGAAGGTTCTTTGTACAACCGTGGGTGTTAAACTAGACAAGTAGGTTATAATCAATGTTTTGAGTTTTTAAAAATACGGTTTTTCGACATATTAACATAAACTGATATCAACTACTGAAGTAATAAAAACTGCTGAGCACTACATTGTTGTTTCATTCTGAATTGGGAATGCTTGCAGGTGCACACTCATAACCCCTCATCCATGACCAATTCCAAAATATTAGGTGTCATTGTAAGTGTGGTTCTGTTTTACTATAAAGTCAAAATTTAACATTTCAAACTATAACTTCATTTGATTCACAATATACAAGTATCATAATATCATGATGTAAATACTCCTCATCCCCGACTTGATTTACTACAGGCCATGGACGTCTCAATAAAGATTTGGGGTATCCATCTCAGAACAAGTCATACATGATGATCTGATCATTATTCAGTTTGGTCTTTGATTTAACACTGAATTATCTTGTTGATAAGCGGGAAAACTTACCATTTGACTGATACTGTTAATAAATAACTACTATATGTACAATCGATTTCCCTCATCCAGTCTTCCTTACTGAATTCTCCTTGACTAAACAATATATACGACCGTTCACTAGAAAGTGATTATAGAAATGGGTAGATGATAGTGTAACGTTAAAGCTAGAGTAGCTCATGTTTTTAACACATATTGAGCAAATATATACTACTCTAATTGGTTAATAACTAGATTTTAAACAATATACCTTTTTTGCTTTACAACAGGTTAGTTAATTAACTAATACGGTGATAGTACAAAAAAACGCCATAACAGATCTGTTCATGGATTATCATGTAAATCTAATTTCTAAATACTTGGTTACTTAAGTTTTTGTTACTACGAAACAAGAACCGATTCACAAGTTTGATCCTTACCTAGTAGTATTTGTAAATGACTCATGTGATTATATAAATAAAATAAATCAATCTTTTTTTTGTATGTGAAACTGAGTAACATTTGTAGTAAGTCAACTCTAATTCACGGTAGAAAGGGATTTGAAGGGTGAAGAAGTCAAAAAAAGTTTACTATTAAAACTAAATGCATCGAAGAGAACCTATGCAAATTTCACATTTCTCTTTTCTTTCTCCAGTTGAATATCTTACGTAAAATATCTTAAAATTGGTCATTTTTGTAGATGCTTGTTTTCTAACTTTTGAATGTATGATCACTTTTTATTTGTTTGACTTATATCCTTATTTATTTTCATTGGTATCTCTCTCTCTCTGTTGTTTGTAAGTATAGCAAACTGAGACTATCGATGTTCCTATGAGATTCTATGTTATTATGCCAATTTGAACATGCTGGCAGTTAGGCTTTCTCATTGGTGTTTATTTGAGAGTTGGTTGTAATAATTCAATTGTTTGTCTAGTTTCGTTTGTTACTGGGGTACATGTTCAGTATATAGTTAATTCTGTACTAGTTTCAAGAACGGTTTATTGTAATACCTTCATTTTGTTTGATTTTTCATAATTGAAATGTATAATCATTCAGGGATGGTCGAGTTGTATGCACAGATGATGAACAAACTACAGTCAGTAATGTTTATGCCATCGGAGATATCAATGCTGGAAAACCACAATTAACTCCCGTGGCTATTCAAGCTGGGCGCTACTTGGCTAAACGTTTGTTTGCTGGTGCAACTGAACTAGTAAGTTTAAACTAACAGAACTCACGATTCTTCAAACTTCGTTTTATCCATTCATTTTAATTCAAGTTTCTATTTATTGCTCACCGTACATTCGTTTTCTGTTAAAGCAATATATGACCCAGCTAAGTTTGACCATCCGGAAGGCATAAAACTCCCGTACTTCGCAGTAAATAAATGATCTTAAGTGAATAACTGATTGAATATCACTAACTCTATCTACGTTCATATTCTTGACTTTCAACCACATGTTGCTATATAGATAATAAATAAATATCCCATCTTCATGATCAAACAAAAGAAAATATAAGACCTTTGATTAGCAGACTGTTTTGTTTCATTTATCAGCACCAGACTATATAGTTTTTTACATCTATATATTTTTCATAATTGTTTCTGTTTGTATATATTCTCATTTAGACTGACTATTCCAATGTTGCTACAACTGTTTTCACTCCACTTGAATATGGGGCCTGTGGATTGAGTGAAGAAGATGCAATTGAAAAATATGGTGATAAGGATATTGAGGTATGTCTGGAAATATTTTATTGCCTCTTTTTCTTAATGGAAAATCCATTACTGGCCACAATATATAAATTTTATCGAAACCTAGAAAATGATTGTTCTCAAAATGCTGACATTGAAATAAACCTTTCATAATGTTAGTCTCATTGAATTCGGTCAAATACAGTAACAGCTAACAGCACTGAAATACATTAAAAAATCACATTCGTTCAATAAATATCTTCCCCGTTAGCCACCATCATTTTGTTTTAATAATTGATTATAGGCATCATGTTAAAAGATCTTAACACACTGTGACATTGGAACAAACGAAAATCATATCAATAAATCTTCTGACAAAAAGATCACTACGGTGAATATTTACGCACTAGAAGAAACCAATTTATGTATAAATCAAATAATCGCCATACTAGATGATTAAATCATTAAATCAACCTAGTTTACCGGTGGCATGATTGGTGTCATTCATGATCCCTATTTTCATTGGCCAATACAAATGTAACGTGTATGAAATTCATGACTGCACACCTCAAGTTCAGCTAGCGATGTTAAATTAATATTTTTATCAAGCTGTAATAATAAATCATTTATTCAATACAAAGCTGTCATTGTTGAGGGATATCTAGCCTTACTACAACGAATTCGTCTATCGAGGGTTCACCATATAATGCCACAATCCTGATGAGAAAGTTAATTTGTACAGTGTTTCAACAAAATTTTTATTTGTACTTGCTTTTCGGTAGTCATGCAGTCGAACAGTGTTTGTTCACACCACTGTAATCACTGATTAGTTGTCTCTGGGTTTAGTGCATGAAACCTTACAATATATATTTCTTATTAGTGTAAACTTCCAGCTTTTTGCATCTCCACCTAACAGTAGCAATAATCAGTTGCAAATATTTTTCTGGATACATTATTATATTCGTAACTAAAACTTAAGTCTCAGCATACGAAAATATTTCTTACTCTAGTTATATTTATAGTACCTAAATGCGAATATTTAAATAATTATTTGTCAAAACAGTTTTTTTAGAATGTTCTACATTTGACAGTAAGTTTCATTATTAGATGTAACTAATGTTATTCTGTTTCACTGTGATCGTTTCTACCTTTTTAGGTGTATCATTCAAATTTTAAACCTTTAGAATGGACTGTCGCTCATCGTGAAGATAACGTTTGTTACATGAAACTTGTTTGTCGTAAATCTGATGTAAGTTCATATACAAGGTTACTTCTGACCACACCAAATTCCTTTGAGCTTATTATACTTCATACAAAAGCTATCGAACTGTTAGTTCTTTGTTTTAAGTGGTATTATAATGCATTTTGGCACTTATTATTTGTGAGGGTGTGTCAAATAAATTTAGTGAAAGCATCATTTCGTAATTTTAAGAACAGTAAACTAGCTTATCACTGATTTTTACAAACGACACTTGTACTTAATTACTTACTCCTGTTGTCCCTCGTCGTAGAATGGCATAGGCCGCTCACCAACATTCTCCATTCAACTCTGTCCTGAACAGTCCTTTCTAATTGCTATTCATCCTTTTCATGTCTGCTTCCGATTCCCGAAGCAGAGTGTTCTATGACCTTCCTCTTTTTCGTTTCCCTTCAGGATTCTAAGTTAGCGCTTGCTTCATGATGCAGTTTGATGATTTGCACAATGTACGTCCTATCCACTTCACATGTGTTTTGCTAATTTCCTCCTCAACTGGAAGTTGCTTTGTCCTCTCTCACATTATACTGTTGTTGATGGTAATCGGCCAACGAACATTGAGTATCTTGTGTAGACAATTGTTTATAAATACTTGTAGATGTTTGATGATGGTTGTAGTAGTTCTCCGAATTCCGCTCCGTACAATAAAACTGACTGTCTTGACGTTCGTATTGAAGATTGTGACTTTGATATTGGTTGACAGTTGTTTTGAGTTCCACATATATTTGAATTGTAGGAATGCAGTTCTTGCTTTGCTAATCCTCTCCTTTACGTCTGCATCAGATCGTCCTTGTTCATCGATGATGCTGATGAGGTATGTGAAAGATTCCACCTGTTCCAGAGTTTCTCCATCAGGTGTGATCGGGTTAGTGTCCTCCATATTTTACTTGAGGATCTTGCTTTTTCCTTTGTGTATGTTGAGGCCCGCTGATGCAGAGACTTCTGCTACACTGGTTGTCTCCATCTGCATTTGTTGGTGTGAATGGGATAGAAGGGCCAGGTGCCAGGTCATCTGTGAAGTCCAAATCGTCTAGTTGCATGCAAGTTGTCCATTGTATTCCATGCTTTCCCTCAGATATCGAGGTCCTAACAATCCAGTCGACCACCAGGATAAAGAGGAAGGGTGAGAGTAGATAGCATTGTCTGACTCCAGTCTTTACTTGGAATGCATCCATCGGCTGTCCTCCATGCACCACTTCGCACTGTAGTCCATCGTATAAATTCCGGATAGTGTTGACGATGTTCGCAGGTACTCCGTCGTGTGGAAGAGGGTTCGCCTATCCACACTGTCAAATGCCTTCTCATAGTCGATGTAGTTAATGTATAGTGACGAGTTCCACTCAACTAATTGTTCAACAATGATCAGTAGTGTCGTGATTCGGTCAGTGCACGATCAATTATTGCGGGATTCACCCTGTTGATCTCGAAGTTGTGTGTCTACTGAATATTTCATCCTGTTCAGCAACACTCTGTTGAAGACTTTTCCTATTACTGACAGTAGTGTGATTCATCTGTAGTTCTCACCCTTGTTCAGATTTCCTTTCTTTGATATCTTGATGAGATCTCCTTTCTTCCAGTCCATCGGTACTTGTTCTTCCTCCCAGATCTTCCTGAATAGAAAATAGTATCATTAGCCTCTCCGCCACTTTTAGAGTTCAGCTTGAACCTAAGTACACAAATCCTTGTGTGGTAAATGACTTAGTAATAAATAAATATGAACTGACCAACTCATACATAGTTAACTTATCAATAAGTACTGGATAATGTATAAGTTCATTAAAGTTTAAGTTTAAATGGGCTGTTAAGCACAACTACCTTTATGCACCATACTTGAAAAAATAAGAGACCATTATTATATTTTTTGATGATCACTTAAGTTTCATCACATTCTGTGTATTTACTATTATGTGTACTTTTTAACTGGTGTAATTTTTTTTATTTTTATTAAACGTTTTCTTCAGTTATGGAGCATCATTTGATAATGAAATGCAGAGGGGAAGCGAACCTGAACTTCCTAAGATAAACAGCACATTTTTAATAGTTCACCATTTTTCTCATTTATTTCGTTTTGTAGCACATGCGTGTACTGGGTCTGCATGTTTTGGGTCCAAATGCTGGGGAGATAACGCAGGGATATGCAGTTGCAATTAAAATGGGTGCAACTAAAGCAGATTTCGATCGTACAATTGGAATTCACCCAACTTGTTCTGAGGTTTGTGAATATTGTTTTTTTATTTGCATTGAATCGTTTTCAAGATAAGGCCTAAGATTGGGTTTTCATAGTATAAATCAGGCGCACAAAAAAGTTTGATGTCTTTGGAAATCTGTTTTTGTTTTGCTGTTTATATCTTAACATAAATATTCTATTTTACACACAAATTTTTGTATTTTTTCTTCCAGACATTTACAACGTTACATGTAACTAAAAAGTCTGGCGTGTCACCCACAGTGAGCGGTTGCTGAGGTTAATTCCCCACTGAAGCCTTGATCTCTTCCTTCTAATCAACGGGAAGGAAACTGTATTGGGCATTGGTGGGGTTATATAAATATCTGTTACATCTCTTCTTCATTTTCTTCTGAAGGTACCTTCCTATGATCCAAATTCTCAAAAATCTTGTTCCAATACGGAATACTGAGTCTTTGGTGATGTTTAGGTACTGAAAAGAGAAAAGACATAGATTTTTTACGCTGCAAAATTTCATATAAATAACTAATGGTTAATTTGTTTTTGAACCATCAATTATCTTAGAAATTACACTTCGTAAATATTTTTTTTCATTAACGATTAACAGTTATTTGTAAACTCGACTTAGTATGGTCAGATGACGCTACTTCACAAAATAAATGTTATGTGACAAAATAATTCTTTTCTGATGTTGTACTTCATTATTGAAATGTGTAAAGCATGTCCCTACAGACCATTTTACTGTAAGATCATTTGCTCGACCATAATCTTTATTTTCAGTGAAACTGATCATTGAGTGAAGTTTATTGTGTAGAGTTAAACATTGTTTTGAAATTCAATACATCAACTTTGGTATGGTCGAGGGTGGGGAAAGTCCTCTCTCCCTCTGGAAATGTTCTCACATGGCCACGCGTATATAACCACTGTCACAGAAGTCCTACTCATGTCTTCTCGCAGCAGGAGTGTGTTTACGAAATCGAGAGGACGTAAAGCGAATGTCCAGCACCGGTTTGGTGGACGCAGGGGTTCCACTTAGGAGAGTTGGAAAACCGTATTTATTTACAGATATTTATTTGAACGCATAAATATTGGTGTAAATGGGCGACCCTGTTAAAGCTCCGGACATTCGCTTTTCATCCTTTCAATTTCGTAAACAACGCCCCCGCCGCGAGAAATTAGTGAGTAGGAAAACCCTGATTCCAAACCAATGGTGCACATGGGCTTCAGCATCCTGATGGAACAGTTGGCGTATAAACCTATTGTTAATCACTGGCTATCATGTGACTGCATCTCCTTATGTTGCTCCACTACCTTATGGACTAGACCTCTAGGTCAAAAGCCCTCTAAGAAAACCATGTGCTTCGGTTTGGGCGCCCGGATAGTATTCTAGCCCTCACAAATATCAAATGACAAAGTGTGGCGTATATATATTTGGTGCCTCCTTGAACCAATGTTTATGTATTTAAATAAATGAACATAAATAATTATTGAACGGTTTTACTCTATTGACTTTAAACACTAAGATTTCTCGTCAAGCCGGAAAAATTATATATATACTCATTTTAAGAAAAAAAAAGTCCTATCGTATAAAATGTGAATCTTTAACAAGATTTATGCTGGCTACAATAACTAATAAATCTCAATAAATTTTAACTAATAATTTTGATAATTCATTAAAAATTATTTCTCAATTAATCGAACTTGATTTGATGCTGATTTACTTAAAATATTGCGTCATTATTAGTTCAATAGTAGAGCTGTACTTGAAATGTTACTTCGAAATAAATCTAAAAGTCGATAGTTCAATGTATATTTTGATTAGAATTTATGTAAATCATCTTTTTTTTTATAGTGGACTAATGTAACTAAGTGTTGTTTCTAAGAATGGCATAATTTAAGTTTGTAATTGTAAATCCTTGTTTATGATTTCAATTAAGATCACATAAATCAAATAAACATGTAAATTTAATTTTAAAAAATGTACTTAATCTGTAATTCAGAAATAATAAATGAAATTAAAATAATTTTCGATGTGTATACTTTCATAGATTCCTTTTAATGCCTGATAAAAATGGTGAAGGTGTTTGTCAGAAAAAAAATTGATCAATTCTAGTTTAATCAAACGTAATAAATATCACTTTCAAATGCAATATGAATATCAGAATTGATTCATTCTTGTCATTTATAACTTAGGTGTTCGATTCTTCAAAGTCTCTGATGATCACTAAAATACAATATACAACCAGGATGTATCGGTTATCTGTTTCAGTCTATTTCAGCACTCTACGGTTATTTATATTCACTAGTTATATTGTTTGGCTTGGTTTTATGAAATCTGATATTCTTCATCGGTTTATGTGAACAATTCTTATACTCTGATTATCTACTATAGTAGCATTTTCAAATATTTATTATAACCAACAAGATATTTATACTTCTCTCTTGCTTTGTTAAGCTCAAGAACTTTTCAAACAATCGATAAAAGGTAATTGAAAACCTCTAGATAAGATATAACATCACTGCAAATGGTTAAAGTGCATTCGCACAAATGTAGAATCAGTTTCTGTGAACCTACAACAATTTTTTTGATGTAATGGAACACCAAGTCGTAATTTTATTCAGCTATTGATTTATCTGTCAGTCATAGATGGTAAATTATTTGAGTAATATAAAGTAAAGTAACTTATATTTGAAGGGTTTCGAAATTAAACACGAAATGTGCGTATTTCTCACAAATCTAGCTAGCAGGTCTATAGTATACTATCTACAGTAACAGGATTTCTTTAGAATTTAGATAATCAAGATCGCAATTTATAATTTAAGGGAAAACTGTCATCAAGTAACAAGATAATTTGCTAAATGACATGGTTAGTATTTGATTACCACTTAACAATTTACGGGTTTCAATAAGAAGATTGAAATCTTCTAAAGACTACAATGTCATTTGTTTTTAACAGTCCATAGCATCTTTGTGTTAGGACGCCTGGTCTTCGATCCTTACTGTAGTTTCCAATGGAGCCATTATAAAAATCCGTTTTTGAGGCTCTTTGAATGTAAAACATGATAACAAAAGATCAATTCGTAAATATACATTTGGACTTGACATCTCACCAACTACTCTGAACAGTTCGACTAATCTCGATTAGTAAAAAATGAACTAAAGGACTATGGTACTTTAGATATCAGTCAAATATAGGTAGTTCAAAATGAAGAGTCATTTTTCGTATTCGTGCCTAAATATTGGTGTATTAGTAGTGTTACGATATTTAGAAATATTCGAATTAATGGGCTAACTAAGAATATCTGAAATAGTGCAATTTAAGGTGGTTAGAACTAGATGAGCGGAACTAAACGTATTTTATTTGGAATTCGTAATAATCGCGCAATCAAGTACAAAGGAGGCACCAGTTAGTTCAAATACCACAAGTTTGTAAACATTTCTCTTTGTTATTGTTAACGAATAAGTTCCAGTGATGTTTATTAGTATCAAAAGCGGAGAAACAAACTCCTCTCTTTTCAAAATGAATAACATGTTCATCAGAAATTTTGATTATTTTATTCCCTTTAAATCTACTTTTAAATGCACAATTGTATTTAATATTACAATTCATAGAGGTTGCTTTCTTTAACATTTAAAAAGCCCATACTTATTTCTCAAGATAATAATTACAGTAATGGCGATAATAAAATTCCGTTAAACATGGTAACAGTGAGGTATAATAAAGGTATTAAGACGTTATTCGATGAGATAAAATGTTGAAATTGTGATGAGATGTAATCAGGAGGATCATAGAAATAGAAATAAACCATTTGGGAGTAAATGGTTTATAGAGAAGATGGAAGGGGAAGCAGATGGCTGTGAAGGAAGAAAATTATGAGACAAAGACTATGGTAGAAAGAGAAGTTGTAGCGGATTCTTTTGGAAACAATCCTGGTTTTTCCAGATGTATAGATAGTTCCTCAGCAGTGTTAAGAAGATGGAGTATAACTGCCTATGGTAGCCATCTACTTAACTTGCAGATAACTGAACGTTGAGTCCGCTTTGATTGAGTGACTTGTGTTCACAAGTGTTATAACTTGTAGAGAACATTGATTTATCGACCTGACCAATGAATCAAAAAACCCGTGCGAGCAGTCTAGTCTTTACCGGTCCTGCCTCCCTTCTAGCCCTCCCTGTTAAGCTCAGAACACCAATCTCAGCCTCTACGTAATGAATCATGCATTTCAGACATACTGGTCTTATATACAATCGAAGCTGACCACATCGTACCATAAAATAGAAAATAACCTTTGTACAAGTTTCAGCCGAAAGTGCTTATGAATGTGGGAGAAAGCAATTGATGGACTGGGCATAATTCATGAATGGTAAGTCGTGTAATTATAGTTCATAGGTCGACATGAAGCTTATAATAAGAGGAACACGAATATGAATAGTTTAGTTATTTATCAATTGTACGATAAAAAAAATACGTATAGTATTATTCGAGAAATAGATTCCAACATTTACCATTCATTATTCTCATCGGGATACAACAACAAGTTCGATTATTGAGCCGTTTCAGCCTCTTAAGCCAAGTCGATTAATGTTCTTGGATTCATTTGGATAAAGTATGGCTCCGACGATATATATACCTGGCTCCACATGAATGAGTAAATTGATATATGCACCTAGAATTGGTCAAATTAGATAATTTATCCTTAAGGTTATAATTGAACACGGATCGGCTTGGGAACACTATTCACAGAGTTGCAGCGAAGAATGTTCTTTTTAGAGAATCAGACATTCTCCTCTCTAGGACGTCTGTTACTCTATCACCCCGGAAATTGATGTTCACGTAGAGTGTTTTCCTTTCAACAGAGGTTATTTGTACTTTAGGCGGTCCGGGTTTTATGTTCTTTTCAATAAGTACAGAAGGATATTCTTTTTCGATAAGTATTTTCTTCAGGAGGCTCAGTTCGTTATCCATGACGTCGGGACCATAAATTCTTCGAACTCGCCTAGCGAGTGATGTGAATGAGTTTCGCTATTGACTAATGGAACTTAGATAGCTGGCCACTCTACAAGAATTTCCTGTAGATTGATCTTCTTAAAGTTTCGACGTGTTTTCTTGTCATTCTGACATCAAGAAAGTGAGTACTTTGTTTTCAACTCCAAGTGTGAAATTTATTGCTGGATGGTAGTTATTAAGTGTTTTTAGAAGATAATTCAAATCATATTTGTTGTCAAAAATGATAAAAATACCATCCAAGTACATTTTATACAAGTAAAAGTTGTCCT